TAAAATCACAGAATTAAGAGCTAGATCTAAGTGGTTATCTAATCCAACTTCCTCATTTTATAGTTGAGGAAACTGAGGCCTAGAGAGGTTAAGGGACTTGTCCAAAGTCACACAGCAAGTGACAGAGCCTAGACCGGAACCCAGGTCCTCTGGGTTCAAATCCTGTGCTCTCACAATAGTACCACAATACTGCCTATCTTAAAACCTACATGTAGTATAAGAAAAATATAAAATTGCGGGGTTGGGTTGGGGAAGGCATTTTAAGTTAGGAGATAATAGCCACATAATTTTCAATACATACTAATGCAGGAATGGGATGTGTGTATACATAAATATAAATATATACTATGTATTATAGTATATATTTAAATATATATTGTTGTTCAGTCATTCAGTCATATCCAACTCTTTGTGACCCTGTATGAGGTTTTCTTGGCAAAGCTACTGGAGTGGTTTGCCATTTCCTTCTCCAAGTGGGTTAAGGCAAACAGAGGTTAAGGAACTTGCCCAGGGTCACAGATCTAGTGTGTCCGAGGCCAGATTTGAACTCAGGCCTTCCTGATTCCAGGTCCAGTACTATATTCAATGAGCTACCCTGCTGCCTTATATACATGTGTGTATGTGCACACATATACACATGTACACATGCATATATATATATACACACATACATACATATATAGTATCATTATAGAGCATGTGTACTATACATATATATATATATATATTTAATATATACAAGTACTAATATAATCTCTTAACTATAGTTCCCCTTACATCTCAGGGACAATCACTAAACAGAAGCACAAGTCATTGAGAGAAAGCCGTCAGACACGGTACAGGAGTTCATTTCCCTGATCAAAGACACCAAATCTCTAGCAAGGGGTTCAAACTCAGATTAGTTTTAAATTCATCTCCGTGAGACAATGGTGAATGGTCACAAACCACACACCTCTGATCTACCTTAAGGCTCTCTCACACAAAGAGTACACATCACTCAACTATATTCATGCCTTGAATCCAACAGACTGGAGAGAAAGGAGTGAGATCTGGGCTATAGATAGGCAGCCCACAACAGGATGGAACATAGTCACTGTTTCATCTCTGGAATGGAGAGCTCAGCGTTAAAAGGTTTCCAGTTTCAGGCTTTATACTCAGGAGGTGACGTTCCCTGGGTTTTCAGGTGCTCTCTCAAGAGCTAAACACTCTTGCCCTAGCTGTTGCTGGCTTGATGTGATGGGGCAGAGTACAAAGGAAAGAGTGGGGACACACAATCAGTGGCCATCACCAGGGGTGCCCAGATCCCATTTCTGTTAAAACTAAAAATGATAAAAAGTCACATGTGCCCCCCTGACAGATCCAGGTGTCCCATATTGGGTACCTGAGCAAAAAGTCAATCTTGTTCCATGAGAGTTGTGGCACCTTCCTCAACTTTCTCTGGCCTAGACAAGGACAACATGGGCAGAAAAAGTCAGTGTGATCAGGACGGGCAACTGTTTCTTAATCAGCTGGAGAGAAGAGAGCTCAGCCAAAATGTTGTTCTGCTCTCATTTAATTATCAAAACGATTTCTCTTCTTCTGCCTTCCCTAGGGCTGCATGCCCCAGATTCCCTGGGCCCAGTAATTGCCTCTTTGTTAATAGAAATCATCTGTATTTATTACACAAAGTGCTAGGGCTTGTTCCAGATCTCCTTGCAGTAAAATAAAAGTGAGTATGAGAAGGCATGTTGGTAGAGTGGCTCTAGTGAGTGATGAGACCAAATGCACTTGCTACTACTCACGTCTTACACTCAACAGTACAAGGGTAGGGAAACCATAAATCTGGGGGCTCAGTGTGAAGAGCACAGGGGTGGGGGCCATGTGAGAGCTGAGCAGGAGTCCAGAAATACTAATTTACAGGCACCTAGGATTCCTACTAGCTAAGCAAGGTGGGCAGAGGCAATAGCTATATTCAAAGGAAAGGGAGCCATGGGTTACGTATTCTAGTCCATAGATTAACAGTCTCCAGTAGAGTTTGGGCCAGTGTAGCCGCACATCATTCTCTACCAGCTGATGGGCATCTCCGAGCCCAGGTGGTATAGCGCCAAGACGTGAGGGAACAGAGCAGGGAGCTTAGATAACCTTAGTGGGAATTATACTATCACCAGCACCAATAACTTCTAAGTCAGGTACACACAGTATTAATTAATGAATGAAAAAGAATCAAAGTATTTAAAAGTATTTATGAAAGTATTTATTAATTTATTATGAATTAATGAATGAAAAAGCATTTCTTAAGTGCCTACTGTGTGCCAAGCATTGTGATAGGTGCTGGGGACAGAAGCAGAAGAAGCAAGTACAACCTGTCTCTTTTAACTGAGTTCAGTGGTTTGTCCCTGAACGGATAAACATCTGAGTGGGTTGATTCCTCATCCTCCAAATGCAACCAAACAAAAAAAGAGTCTTCCTCATTCCTGTCTCTCTCTGAAGTGTGGCCTGGTGTGAAGTTTGGAGATGATATGGGCCCCTTCCATGGACCAAACCAATCTTTTAAGACAGTGGTGTCAAACTCAATAGAAATGGAGGATGCATATTGACTCAGAAAACCACATTATCTATGTTTTACTGTATTTCTATTTATTTTATTAAACATTTTCCCAATTACATTTTAATCTGGTCTTAGCCAGACTCTTTCTGGCTGGACCACAAATTTGATGCCTCTGCTCTAAGAGGTGGCCTTTGAAAGACTGTTAAACTGCTGAGGGCACCATTGTGGAAAGATGGATGAGGAAAACCTGGGTTCAAGTCTTGTCTCTGACATATGCTAGTGATGTGACCCTGGGCAAATCACTTAACCTCGAAGTGCCCAGGCAACCTTCTAAGACTGTAGGCCTCAGAAATGCTTTAATAGAGGAGCTTTCTATATTAGGAGCTCCCCAACAAGGATGAAATCACAGGTCCCTACCACTTATAATGATAGTTATTATTTATCAACCCTACCTTGCCTTCCTCCTTTCACCCCTCCCTAGGCCCAGGGCAGTCCCAGAATTTAGAGCCATCACCACACACTAGGAGGACCCTACTCCCTTGCCCTTCTGCCCTCAACTTCTCCTCCAGCCACAGGCTACCCAAGAACCCATCCTAGACATTCAGGCACTGAGTGGGAAGAGGCATCATGACCTGCCTCCCCCCCACCCCCTTTCCCATCCTGGGCTGTATCAGAACCCACCCTGATGATCAGGTGGGAAGAATGACACTACTGGAGATGCACAACTTCTTACCCCTATCCACTCACCTTGGGTATTTTTGACCGCCTATAAGGTTTGAACAAGATGGAGGCCAATAATTTCATTCCTTTGGATGAAATGGAGAACCTCACCACCTGTCTGCTGCTGCCTCTAAGATCCTCCAGATCTTCTTGTTTGCCTTACCTTATGTCATGAAGTTTCCCAGTACTGGCATCTTAATTTAATTTAAGGACCTCTGGGCCTTGCAACTGTACCCCCTTTGCGACTATACCCTTGGGACTTTCAGGCCATTCTCTTTGCCCTCCAGCTAAACTTTCTCTTCCAATTAGAATATGAGCTTGTTAAGACAGGGACTGTCTGGCTTCATTTATTTCTATCCCCAGCACCTATCACAGTGCTTGGCACCTAGTAGGCACTTAACAAATACTTTTTCATTCTTTAATTCATAATAAATTAACAAATGCTTTTAATTAATACACATTTTTATAAATACTTTAATTATTTTCATTCATTAATTAAAATGTGTAATCTTTTGCTACCTGACTTTTAATACCCTACACAAAATATTTTTGGTACAAGTATGTTGGTGTGCACATCTTTTGGACCTGGGGCGTCCAGAAGAACAAAATGTGTTGCTGCTAGATAAGGAAATAGATTTATGAGTCACATAGCTAGTAAGTGTTTGAGGTGGGATTAGAGCCTTTGGGCCTAAATCCCACCTCAAGCATTAACCAGCTGTGTGACCTGGGCAAGTCACTTAATCCCTCTGGCCTCAGGTTCCTTATCTATAAATTGAGGGGAGTGGCCTGCAAGGTCCCTTCCAGCTGTAAATCTATGGGTTCATCAAGGACAAAGGCATGCTCTTTGAGCGAATCTATGTGAGACTTCTCCCCTCTATTAGTAAAGGCACACATCCCTTCCCTATGTTAGTGAAGACATGCATCCCTTCAGTTTATTACCCAGCTCATGGTTTTTAACGTGAGTTTCCCCTGCCTTGCACAGACTTGGCCCCAGAGCCAGTGCCAGAATAAAAGAGGCAGAAACGGGGAGGGACAGAGCAACCCAGAGACACAGGTAGAGAGGCGGAAAGACGACCAAGACACTTGGGAGAGTCCCATGGAGAGTGACTCCAGCTGCCCAAGTTCATCTCGGAAAGGCCAGACATGTGAGTAATTACAGAGGTTTCCTCTGGGCAGAGCCCTCCAAGGCTGGCTTCTCCATCTCTTCCTCAAAGACGCCTAATGGAATTAAATGTGACCCCACTGCAGTTCCACACAGTGACTTACGCCTCTGCAGTCAATAAAACGCACGCTGGGAAGGAAACAAGATTATGGGTCAGGGAAGAGTGGGCAGTCTGCTGAGCTGCCTCTGATTAGTACCTGTCGCACTCCCTCCCACATTACTGCCCTTTTCACTTCCGCCAAATTACACTGCCGGAGTGGAGAGTTGTCTTTAAATTTGTTATTTAGATCAACTGCTTCAAAGGCTCCCAAATTGATGTGGTATCCCCCAAATTATGCAGATGACTGGGTCGGGAGGCATTTTCAGAATGAGATATTGTCTTTTGAGGGGGACAAGAACTCATGGGTTAGGCCTTGAAGGAGGTACGTGGGCTGTCCTTAATGACTGTCAGAAATATGTGGGGGAGTGGGATGATGGTGCTGGTGGAGAGGGATGGTCTAACAGGACAGAGACAAGAAGGGGCCTTGCTATCCACCCTTGAAATGAGGAGCCGGTTAATAAGGACAGTCCTAAGTCAAGGGGCAGCTTTACCTTGCATGGGTGAGGATCAACTCCATAGGTTTCCAAAGTCTGGGCTTTTCTCAAAAAATTTAACTCTGATGTTGCTGGTGTCTGACCACTGGAATAAAGAAAAACAAACAAAAAAAGACTAGTTATCAAATGTTATTGTTTGCTGAGGCAGATTCACTGTTAAAAGAAATGCTCAGGGGCAGTCAGATGCTCCATTTCTTCTTCAAAAGAACTTTGGGAACTCTTCCTTATGGAAGTTAGGCCATTTCAGCAGCAACACTCAGCAGCCTGGGCATCCCACTGCGGTTATCCATGGCCCTTACCTTCCCACCAATGAGAAGCACAAGTGTGTTTTGCTAAGAGATAGCCTTCTAAACAAAAGACAATCAATAAAAATGTATTTTTACAACAGATCTCCTTCAATGCTTTGCCTTCTTAGAACCCAAATATGTTCTGATGCAGCCGTCTTTGTTCTGACTCACTTGCTTACCAGTTATGTGACTCCAAGCAAGTAACTTCTATGGGCCTCAGTTTCCTCATCTGTAAAATGAGGGACTGTGGATTGGCTGGAGTAAATGGCTTCTAAAGTGCCCTCGAGTTCTACATCTATCTACGAGTCTATTTTTTAGGGAAAAGGTGCCTGAAAACAACCATTAGGATACAATTCAATGTGCCTACGGACAATTCCATAAGGATGGTGTTTTTTAGCTGGAGTGTCGATGTCAAAAACCACGGTGATCTTCAGTATAATCTAGACTAGAAAGACATTCTTCCTTAGCGAGGTCAGAATCCCTAGAATGACCGTGAGGGTCATTTGTATACAAATACAAGCAGCTTTTTTTTGGTCTTTGTATCTTCAGTTTTGAGCACAACGCCTGGCAAATGTTGCTGTTCAGACATTTCAGTCATGTCCAACTCTTTTTTTAAAATTTTTTGTGTGTGTCCAACTCTTCGTGACCCCATTTGGAGTTTTCTTGGCAAAGATATTAGAATGTTTTGCCATTTCCTTCTCCAGCTCCTTTTCCAGATGAGGAAACTGAGGCCAACAGGGTTAAGTGAATTGCCCAGGGTCACCCAGCTAGTAAGTGTCTGAGGCCAGATTTGAACTCAGGTCTTCTTGACTCCAGGACTGGTCTTTTACCCACTGAGTCACCTGCCTGGCAAATAGTGCATAGCAAAGCTTGTGTGTGTGTATGTGTGTGTGTGTGTGTGTAATTATTTATACATATTTTACATTTATACATATTATACACTTATACATATTTTAAATTATTTATTTTTAACATTCTTTTAAAAAAATTGACTTCCAAATTCTCTCCCTTCCCCCCCCACTAAGAAGGCAAGCAATATGATATCAACTATACATGTGAAATCACGCTAAACACATTCCCATATTAACCATATCACAGAAAAGCAAGAAAAATAAAATGAGAGAATTATTCTTCAATTTGCAATTAGAGTTCATCAATTTGCAATCAGAATTTATCAGTTTCTCTCTCTTGGAGTGGATAGCATTTTTTCATCATGATTCCTCTGGAATTCTCTCGGATCATTATATTGATCAGAGTAGCTAAGGCTTTCATAGTCGTTCATCATTACAATATTGCTGTTACTGTATATAGTAATCTCCTGGTTCTCCTCACTTCACTTTGCATCAGTTCATATAAATCCTCCCAGGTTTTTCTGAAACTATCCTCTTCATCATCATTTCTTATAACACAACAGTACTCCCTCTCAATCATATGTCACGTCTTATTCAACCATTCCCCAAATGATGAGCATCCCCTCAATTCCCCTCAAAAAGAGCTGCTATATATAGATGTATCAATATTTTTACATATAGGTCCTTTCCCTTTTTCCTTTGATCTCTTTGGGGTACAGACCTAGTAGTGGTATATTGATGGGTCAAAGGGTAGGTGCATAATAAATCTTGTTGATTGACTGATACCATAACACAACATATCAGAAAACTGAATTTTTAATAAGAATAAGATCCTTATACCACAGGCATTTCCCGTGGCTGGTGGGCAGGTCAAAAAGCATTTAAGTTTCTTATCTACCCCAAATAACACAGCAGGTCAACAGATAAATGCTCTGAAATATGCCCAGATTTGGGTAGGATTCCCTTCTGAGTAGGGCAGAGAGCATATTCTCTTCTTCAATCAATCAGTCGACAAACAGATCAAGAGCCTATTACATGTGTGAGCCACTGTACCACGGGGACTTCGGAGAGGAGGCAGTGAAGGAGAGATGAGCAGGGACTGTGTAACTTTTGACTTTGTCCCCTCCAGGTCTGGCACATAGTGGGCCTTTGATGAATGCTTGGTGACTGAGTGATGTAAAGATCTATCAAAGATAAGATGGTCCACGTATGATGGGTGCCAAATCAAGTCTCCTCTCTGGTCCATCTTCTCCCTACCCCAGGCTATCCTCCACTTACCTGCCAAATAGATCTTCCCAAAGTCACTATGTCACTTCCCCATTCAATAAACTGAGTGGCTCCCTAGCACCCCTAGAAACAAAGACAAAATCTTCTGCTTCTACCATTCCATTCTTACTCCTTAACTCCATTCCACGTACTATGCCATCTGGTGACACTGGCCTCCTTCTGTTCCTAGAACAAGACATTCCATTTCTGGACACTGGCTGTCCCCTATGTCTGGAACTCTCTCCCTCCTAGCTTCCTTCATGTCTCAGCTAAAATTCTACTTTCTATAAGAATTTTTCCTGGTCCCCCTTACTGCTAGTAACTTCACTTTGCTGGTTATCTCCAATTCATCCCTTATATATCTGATTGCAAGTTGTCTCCCTCGCTACATTATGAGCAATTTGAGAACAGGAACTCTCTTTCGCCTTTCTTTGCATCTCTTAGTAGTCAGCACATAGTAGGTGCTTAATAGTGTAGGCTCATTGACTAGCTGAAATGAGTGCTTTAATAATAATCATTAACAGGACTTAGAGGAAGGAGCCATCATGACTTTTTTATATTCCTCACAATATTGAATACAGTGATACTCACACAGTAGGTGTTAAGTCGAAGTTGTTGAACTACACAGGGTTGTTTGTTGAACTAAGCTGTTGAGTTACATTACTTTGAAATATCAGACTGGCCACCAGAGGGTACTGGTACACTAGATACTATTTTTGTGGACTCTTTTTGTGGTAGATCTCATCAGACTAGAAAATCTGGCTGATTAGGACTGAGGCCTTTCTGACAAGCACCCTGCCTGTTGTCTGGCTGCTACCACTGACTCTGAAGGATGGTGACTTTGCCAACCTTCCTCCCCACCCCCAATACTACTCTAATTGGTACCAGTACCAGGGGATTCCCCAACAATGGGCCTCATTTACTGTGTCAGTATGGAACTGACCTCAGTGACTGTGACATCTAAAAATATACATGACTGGTTACCCAGTGCCCTGAGTCCCACCAAGCATTGCTCCATTGTTATATATTTCTACGCTTGTGCTTCATATACTTTTGTTGAATTGAGTTTATTTTCTTCCTACATCCAAGTCAAGTTGAGAGCTATCCAAGAGCCTATTTTAAGCTCTGACCTTTAACACAAGGTCTCGTTTCTGTCCCAGCAAAATGAAGGAAGTCACTGTATAGAGGCTGATGAGCAGTAATGAGAAATGCCATGGGAGAAATATGGCTCTAGATCCTGTTGCACATAGAAGGGTCTAAGGAAAAGGGTAAGGGGCCCTTTCTGAGACAGTTGTCTGCAGTGCTCAGAATTGAACTTAAAACCACTGGGCAGAGGTTTTTATTTTGAAAGGGATCTAAGCTTAGGATAGTCATTAATCCTCCCTCTCCCTTTTTTCTTCATAAATGGTTAAAGAGAGGATCCACAGTCCTACCTCTGGATTCTTAAGGAATGGGGAAGGAGGCAGCGTGGTACAATGGACTGCTAGAACCTGACTCCAAGAACTTGAGTTTCAATCCAAGCTCTGCTGCTTATTTTCTGTTTGACCTTGGACAAGTCTGTGTGACCTTGGACAAAGTCATTTAAGCTCTACGGGCTTCAGTTTCCTCATCTGTAAAATGAGAGGGAGAACTAGGTGACCTCTAAGGTCAGCAGCTCTAGAAAAGCATGGGCTGCTGAGAAGAGGCAGTCTTTGAAAAAAGACAGCATCTTATAGGAGTCCCAACCACACCTGTCAATCAGCTCTAGCCCTGAGCCCTCACATCTGGTTATGCAAAAGCCAGCTGTCACAAACTATTAATAAATTGAAACAGGTTTGCCCATAACTGTTCCCTTTCATTTTAAACTTTTCTCTTCTTTTCATCTTATGTCTTTCCCCTCTTTCTTCCTTTCTCTATCCTTTCTTTTCCCTCTCCCTGTCTTTACTTCTGTGTCTCCATTTCTCTTAGCCAAGCAAATGTTCACATGTCAGTCTCTCTCCACTCTCTTTTCCCTAAACTTTCCCCCAAAGAAATCCTAAACAAAACTTGAACACAATCTCTTGCTCAGACCCCAAATAAAAACAGATTTTAAATTCTGTGCTGGGGAAAGTACTTGCTAAGTCTATGATGTGTTAACGGGTGTTGGTGTTGGAATCACAGTTCATCCCAGCTCTGCCATTTTGCTACCTGTGTGATGCTGGGCCATTTACTCAGTGTCTATGGGTCTCAGTTGCCTCACCTGCAAAATAAGGGTGTGGGACTAGAGCCATGAGGTACTTTCTTTCTTTTTTTTTTTTTTGGTGAGGCAATTGTGGTTAAGTGACTTGCCCAGAGTCACACAACTAAGTGAGGGTTATGTGTCTGAGGCCAGATTTGAACTCAGGGCTTCCTGACTCCAGGGCCGGTCATCTATCCACTGTGCCACCTAGAGGTTCCCATGAGATACCTTTTAACACTAAGCCTATGATCCTAGGTAAAGTTTGAAGATACGTCACAAAGAGAAGATGGCTGTAAACCAGTGTTTATATCTCTGGGCAGCCTGGAAGAGAACAACACTACAGGGTGAAAAAATGAGCTCTGATTAGCTCAGTCACAGCGTCTTGAACCATGACCACATATGCTACACACCTGAGTTCAGTTTTGTGGATCTCGGCAATTTTCTTTTCCAGCTTCTCTGAGTGTTTAGGGAAAAACTGGAACTTGGAACTGTAGCCCTCTGGATGCTTTCCGGGGTCATAATCACCAATCTCGGCTTCAAAAACAAACAATGAAGACATGAGGGGGAAGGAAAAGGGAAAGCAAGAAAATCATCAGTCTGAAATGAAAGAGAAAGTAGCAAAGGAATTAAATATCAAGCAACCAGGACAAAACACTGATAATGAAAGCACAAATGAGATTAATAAACACCAGTGGTTCCCAAACACAACTCAGGGTCTAACAGGGAAAGAAAGAAGGGAGAACCAAAAGTGCGCTGGCCTGCCGCCTTTCATTAGCAGTGCAGCATTTTCATGCTCAGATCTGTTAAGCGGACTGCCAGCAGAGACAAGACTCTATTTTGAGATCCAAAGCAACATATAAGTTCATAAATGAGCTGAAACCCAACCCCGGAACCCAAGTGTTGGTCTAAGTCAAATAAAATTAAATGAAACCTTGTTGAGCACCTACTGTACATAAAAGTAGAGCTGTCTGAATGTTCAAGGAGAAGGTAATAACAGTAGATTACAAAGGTCCAAGTTCTAATACTGAGTTCTCCATTGATTCAACTGTGCTGGGGCTTTCTCTTCCAGTAACTGGAAGAGTTGGAGAGAATCCAACTTCATTATCACTAAGATTAGTTTGATCTGATTGTCTGTGGAGCCCTTTTGGGGTGGGGATGGGCAATGACACCTCCTGTAAAATGCTCTGGAATTATTACCCTCTGTCCAACACCCCTCCACGTTGGCTGGGAGTGAGGCTGAGTGTGCCAGATGACCTCTTTCTCAAATACTCTGGAGACAGGAGGTAGCAATGGATGCTGAGAAGAGGAGGTGGTGGATATTTTTTAGCTGTATTAGGATTGTTTCCTCTCTCGACAGGCTAGAATTTTGGGTCTAATCTAATAAGATGAAATTTAGTAGGGATAAATGTAAAAATCTGACATTTAGGTTCAAGAAAGGAACTTCCTAAGTAGAAGATGGGGGAGGTGTGGCTGGAAAGCAGCTCTTATGGAAAAAAAATCTGGGGGTTTTAGTAGGCTTACTATGAGGAAACAGCATGATAAGATAATGCAAGCTTAGGCTGTTAAGAGAGGTATAATGCCTCAAAATAAGGTGCTAATTCTCTGGCCTGGTCAGACCACATCCTGGGTATCGTGTTCAGTTCTGAGCACCATATTTTAGGGAAGACTTCGATAAGCTTGAGAATCCAGAGGCGGGAAACCAGGATAGTTGAAGTGGCTTGAATTCATGCCATATGAATGTAAGTGGAATAAACAAGTGATGTTTATAATTGAAGATGTTAAGACTTGGGGGAGAGGGGCAGGAAATGACAACTGTTTTCAAGTATGCAAATAGCTATCATTAAAATTGTTCTTCTTAGCCCCTAAGGGCAGGAATTGGAGCAATGTGAGGAACTTACAAAGAGGCAAATTTATTTGATGTTGAGAAAAAAAATTAAGAGTTATCCAAAACCAGAACAGGTTTCCTTAGGGGGTAGTGGGCTCCCCCTTACTGGAGGACTTTGAGGAAATGATGACTTGTTACTGTCTTGTAGAGGCTCCTTTTTAAGTCTCTGTGTGTGTGTGTGTATGTGTGTGTGTGTGTGTGTGTGTGTGTGTGTGTGTGTGTGTGTGTGT